AAGTGAAAAAACTACACGGAGCATGATTCTACCTAATTAATCCAGCTCATACCATCAGATGCGGAAATAAAGTTCACAGATTCAAATGTGATGAGGCAAATATTGCACGGAACTTACTCTCTAAAAGTATCCCAAAATTCCGAGGAACGCTTTTTTGCTGTATCGAGTAAATGCAAGCTTTGGTTAAGTTCCGATAGACGATTAGCACGGCGTACAGGCGAGCTGTTGAATGACCGGAGCTCGTCCTCTGTTTCACCGTCGTGCGAAATAGTGTCGTCTGTGGCGAATGCGGAATCTTGAGTGCGGCCCGTCCGACGAATCATGGATGGTTTCCGTTTAATCGCGGTCAATGGACAAGTGACTGTAGAACAACGACGGTAAGCTAAAACCTCGGGGGATTGGTGGTCCATCTCTGAGGCAGTCTCCAAGGTCACAAACGGATGAGCTAAAGCATCTACTAACGGCTGTCGATCGGATGGCTCTGACAAATGATCTTTCGGATCCTCGTGAAACTCCGGAATAGAATTGGCCAGCAATTTGGAAACAAGAGACAGTGTAGCATCGCCCCGTGCGCCCGATCGACCAGCTTGACTTCGAAGTGTCGTGGAAGTATTTCGTATGCGCAGAAACTGGTTATAGATGCGCAGTGCGCTCTACCAAGGAGAAATATGTATGGATATATCGACAAAATCGTATATATTTGTTCGGATATCACTGTTAACTCTGTCTATAGTTGGTCTAACTCCTCTCTTTCATGGCTGGGGTTTTGGGGGTACGATTTGAGTTGGTGTCTCAGTTGGTAAAACGTGTTGGAGGAGTTGGAGGAGGTTTTCGTCAGAACTAAAGGCTTTGGTTGAGAACCCTAATCATTCTCCTACTTAGTGGTTGGACAACCTAGCAGTACCCATCCATCAAACCCCAATGCATATGCATTGCGAGTTTGGCAGCGACCAGTGAAGTTCGCTTCACTGTATTTTGTTGTACGATGATGATGATAATGATGGTTGACTGAGACGGTAGTCAGAAGGTGACGAACAAAAGCGGAGGAGGGAAGTTCAGGTTTGTGGGCTGTAAAAACTGAAACACTTCACTGCGTTTCCCTGAACAATGCCGATGACTTGCACGATAGAGAGCATCGAAGTAGTTAATGCAGACGGATCACAGACAACGGTCCAATACCATCTGGCTGCTCTCGGTTAGTTATTCAAGCATACAACTTTTGTAATGTAAAACGAAACTACAGAAGAACACTGAATGATCCCGTTTACAACAGTTCTCCTCGTGCATGCCTGTTCATGAACGGAGTAATCAATCGAAAACAGGAAAATCTCCTCCTACTAGGACAGCGATAAAAAAGTGAAAGATAAGCTGTCTAAACGAGCAACACGAGTGAAAGGCAAAGACAAACGACAGATACCTTGTACTGTTTTCGAGCGACCAGACAATAGAACAGAACATCGTACTGGCCGGTTGCGAGATAATGATCTACCAAACTTTGAGCTTCCCAAACGGTGAGGCCAAGATTGATCAGGTCCCCAAGACGTCCAACTGTATGAACAAAACGAGACCAAACGGAAAAGGTCAGGGAGAGGCGGAAATGCGAGGAATGTTTGAATCATCATTGTCATCATACAGCCAAATACAGTGAGAAGAACTTCACTGATCGCTGCCAAACATGCAATGCATAAAAGGTTAGTGGTAAAATTTAAGGTGGACGGGGATTGGACCTACTTTGAAGGAAAGGGGAGAAGGTGAACCTCTATGGTCAACACAGAGTACACAATCGGACTCTGCATACATAACGTTTCAAACATTCTGACCTGATAAGAAATGACAACAAGAATGCCACCGCTATCGGTTCGCTGCCATATCCTTCAATGTCTTCAACCAACCAATTGTGGAGTCTTTCGGACCCCAAACAAGGAAAGTGCGTGACACCTACTCTACCTAATGGTTCTGTGCATTTCTTCACGCCTCGTCTCCACGTCAACTGTTGTCCTCTACGTGGTTTCCTCCAGACCGGATTAGCTACAGTGAATAAGGTGCGATGTGGTAGACGGTTGTTGAATGATCATTGATTACACACACTGGATGCAAGCAAGAAGAGGGAAAACAAAAAATCATCGTACAGAGAGAGAGAGACGCGAAATTCACCGATCACTGCAAAGTACATGATATACACAAAATAAGTGAAAATGCACAAGATGATCAGGAATAGGGCCTAATTGGAGGGAGGCAAAGAAAACGAACCTCAGAGGTCATCACACAGAGTGCACGACCTAGCTGTGCATATACACTTTTCAAACACTGACGTACTAAGAAACGACAACAAAAAAACGAATGCTGTCGGTTCGCTGTCACACCTTTTCGTGTTTCCAACCAACCAGTTAAAGAGTCTTCTGGACCCCAATCTGGAAGAGGGGAGACACCCATTCTACCAAATCACTGAATTTCTTCATGCCTCGTTCGCACGTTATCTGTTGACCTCCACGTGACTGAATACAAATTCGTATCTCTAGTTCTCTCGGGGGCTTATATGTTACAACACGCGGAATTTTCGTTTCATTCGCCGGACCAACCGCACACTCGCACCAGGCCAGCTGAACTGTTCACTAAAATGCTCTGCTTTGCGTTCAAATCGTTGCTCTTTAATATGGATTCTCTGTCCACTCTATCGCAATGGTTTCACGGATTGGTAAGCGACGACCTCAGGTGCTGCGTATCCGGTAAAACCGTCTTTGACTATTCCCTGATGCAGAAGCTACCCCCATTTTACTAGCTATTTTGGCCGATCAGTTTTCGTGATCTTTCTTGAGGCTTTTCCTCAGCTGACGCTGAAGACGCCAACGATTTTTATATCGATCCTGGCAGATTGGGATTGTTTACCCATGCTCTTTCAGGACTCCTGAAAGATGCAATGTCTTCGAAGAACATCCAGCTCGGACCTACAAGCTAAGTTTGCTGCTGAATACATTGCACATCTAACTTGATACTACTGTTGGTCTATTCCCCCACGTCGCATTGCTTCTGGTTCCAGTCCAAGTTTATCATAACGTGCGCAAACAAATGGATCGTGCAGACGATGAGTTAATTGAGGAGGTGATATTCGCCGAAGTTCGAGGAGTCGAGGCGCATCAGAACTACCATGCGATCAAACTAAACGCAGGTGGTCCAATCGAAACTGCAATTTTGCACTGAACAAGACCTA